CTGGTTGGGCTCTGCTTGCCCCTGCGTCCTGGCCGACACGTGGGGCTGTTTTGCTCTCCCCTGCTGTTGTTTGCAAAACACAGAGGTTCTGGTGCGTGGAAGATAAGCTGTCTGTGCGCTTTTCCTCTCTGCCAGCTTGCTGCCTTCTCTCCCCATTAAGTCGTTGGGAGGTGACTGCTCACGGCGGGGGCAAGGGAGCTGCACTGGGGCCCATCGAGATTTCAGTTCTTCCCTGCCCTAATCAAGTTCCCAATGAATTGAGGGTTTCCTTGAATTCTTGGGAGCCACGCATGGGTCTGGGGGATGTCCCAGCTCCTCCCCAGGATATTTCAAGCCATGATGGGCCCAGAACCCCTGGGTCTGGCGTACGCTTGTGTTAGCCAGACATTTTTCCCTCCCAGATCACCTACTTCCTAATCGCTGTGAAGGGATTTGGTTTTGCAGAGGCAGGAGACAAAGTGACTTGGCAGAGGTCCCCTGGGATGGGAGAGGGTCAGTGAGGCAGCAGGATTGAGCCCCTCCTTGGCTGCAGAGCCCGTCCCTGGGAGGAGCCGCTCCATTAATATCTCCCATTCATCCTTCTTCCCGTAATCCTGCCGCCGACTCTGGCGCTCAGCAGCTGGCTCTGATGTCACCCGGCGAGGATTTATTGCTGCTTCAGGTGGAGAGCAGCAGTCGGAGCAGATGAAATCTTATGCCAGGAGGAGCTTGTTCCCTGAGCAAATTGCTTGGAGAAAATCCGAGGAGACAGATGCAGCTCCATCAGATACGCACATGCCAGGCAGTGGGATCGCGTGTCTGCTGGCTCTGCGTGCCGTGGAGGGGAACCTGCTGCCGTTAACTCACGTCTCCCCGGTGTCCTGAAGGGCTCTGGCAGAAGGGCGACTCAGATATTTTTGCAAACCTCTTTAATCTTTGCCTTTATGGACCTGGGGCAGAGGTTGTACCGACGCTTGCCGGGTGTAACAGCTTCCTCCTGCCCTCCTGGCTCTCTGGGGTGAGCGGGGTGATGTGCAGACACTGTTAGTTCAGCCTTTTTGTAGCTACAGCTCTGAACACTCCTGGGAAGGTGCTGAGCTCTCTAGGAAGTCATTTACAGGGTTTTGGGGTGGCATGTAACCTTTCGGCTCTCCTGAGCGCTTGGAGGCAGTCGGCTGGCCCTCCCTGCAGCACATTGGTGCCTTCAGCTCCTCCTTGTACAGTCGGGGCCAGGCCGTGGGTCTGCTCTGGGCTTCCCCTGCACCCTTGGGTGGGTGGGAGCATCCCGAAGGATGAGGTTGAGCCACACACACACGCACACGTGTACCATCCCCAGGAGTGACCCCAGCCTTGGGGAAGGGCTTTCCACCTACCTGCGGTGTCTTCGAACCCCTGCCAGCTGCAATGCCTCAAGCTGCTCTTGGGGGTCCTTCCCCCCGCCGCCCTTTGCGTGGTGCCCCTGCCCACAAAGCAGCGTCCCCCGACTCTGCACAGCCCTCCCAGACCAGGGCAGCCTCTCTCCATGCAGGGCTGTGGCTGGGAGAAACAGCAAATCCCAGCCTTGTTCCTGCCTTGGCCAGTCACATCCCTGCAGGCCTGGACTGGGATGCTGCCCCCTCCCAGCAGACTTGGCTCTGGGCCCCCACCCCCAGCATCCTGCTCATCCCAGAGGAATCCACATACCCCATCTGGGGGTCATGACCAGGCATGTTGCAACTCCCCACACTCTGTTCCAGCTCCTGCTCATGCCTTGAGGCCTCTTTATGTTTTGCGGGAGCTGCCGAACCTGTTCAGGATGTTCTACAGCCCAGGAGCCCTCGGGGACTGCGGTGGGTGTGAAGTGGGGTTAATGCAAAGACTCACTTGCTTTCAATTACCTTTTTCATGTCTCTCCTTGCAGGAAAGAACCTCTACACGAACGAATACGTAGCTATCAAATTGGTGAGTCCCTCCATGGTTGGGGTGGGTGATGTTCAGGCCATCTGGGAAGGAGTTTGTTCACCCTCCCCAGGCTGTTGGAGCGGGCCAAGCCGAGCTGGTTGCGATAGGTGATGGATGGGTGGCTGCGCGGGGAGCTGTGTTCACTGCTAGGAATTGAGGGCAGGCAAAGCAACGTGCGTCATTGTAGGTGGGGTGATCTGGGCCTGGGGAGAGAAGAGCTGGGTCTTTGCTTCTCCAGGATCTCGCTGTGGCCTGTACTGCGCTCAGCCGGTGCCAGTGGCAGAGAGACCTCCGGGAGAGGGTGGTCCCCACTGATACCTGTTCCCTCTCATTAATGTCTGCCCCAGCACCCGGATCTCTCTGGAGGCGGAGGCTCTGGCTCCCATATGGGCTGGTTTTTCTCTCATCATCCCCTGAGGCTTCATCTCCATTTTATACCAGTTTTCTCAACCCCAAATGCTCTCAGTCCAGCTGCTGCCAGCTTGTGAAGGAGGTGTCTGACAACCAGACCTCCCTAACATCCTGCTCCCTACAACAGCCTTAACTGATCTCCTTCTCTCCTCCAAGGAACCCATAAAATCCCGGGCCCCCCAGCTGCACCTGGAGTATCGGTTCTACAAACAGCTCGGCAATGCAGGTACGGGGCTGAGCTGCCGTGGGGAGCTGGCTGCCTGGGCGACACTGCTAGGAAAGAGAGAATTCCTATAAATATGTGACTCTGCAACTTCGCTCCCTGGCTTGAGCAGCTCCTGCCCATCTGCTCGGCTGGGAGAGGCCGATTTTACACAGAGCCACGTCTAATCTTTCATCCCTTTTTATTTAGTTCTTTCCCCCCACCTCCCCCGCAGCAGAGTCAGGGATGCAGATGGAGCTGCCTCCTTCGCCCTCCTGCCAAGAGCAGAGCCAGGCTGGCTGTGGCACAGAGGGAGGGCAGTGCAGAGGCATCCTCCCCATCTGCAGCCCCCGGTCCCAACTCCAGCAGTGGCATGGCCACGACAGCATGGCCATGTGCTGCTCAGCCCTGTTGCAACCCCTGACAGCCCCTGCTCCGTCTTTTGCAGAAGGAATTCCTCAGGTTTACTACTTTGGCCCCTGCGGGAAGTACAACGCCATGGTGTTGGAACTGCTAGGACCCAGCCTAGAAGATCTCTTTGATCTGTGTGATCGGACCTTCACGCTCAAGACCGTCCTGATGATCGCGATCCAGCTGGTGAGCACAGCACCTCCGCCTTGCCTGCAGCTCTGCACGGCTCACCCTGGCCAGAGACTGTCCCAGGGAGTGACGTGATGCAAGGGCATGGTGGTCAGGCAGCATGGGGACCCCGCAGAGAAGGGGAGGGGAAGGAAGGGTGAACCAGTGCCTGGCAGGCCACAGGAGACACTGGCACATCCCAGACACCTCACCCTCTCCCTGATGTAGGAGGGCTCTCCCTCACCCCCACGCTGCCCCTCTCTGAGCACAAATGAGCATGTCACTGTCTGTCTGAGATGTGGCCGGACTGAGGTTGACTCCCAGGGCTGGAGGACCTGTTGTGCCCGTCCGTTCAACCCAGGGTGACATACAGGCTGAGGGGAGCTGGCTGGGGGCAAGGCAATCGGAGCAGAGCCAAGCCCAGGGGAAGAGGAGGGTGCAGGGAGGAGTGCAGGACGCACGGTGCCTCTCTGCCATGGTGCTGACATCTCCTTCTGCCCCCAGATCACACGGATGGAGTACGTCCACACCAAAAGCCTGATCTACAGAGACGTCAAGCCAGAGAACTTCCTGGTGGGGCGGCCGGGCAGCAAGCGGCAGCACACCATCCACATCATTGATTTTGGCCTGGCCAAAGAGTATATTGACCCTGAGACCAAAAAACACATCCCCTACCGAGAGCACAAGAGCCTGACAGGGACAGCACGCTACATGAGCATCAACACCCACCTCGGGAAAGGTGTGTGCGGCCAACTCGGCTTCTTGGCCAAAAGGGAGAGGGAAGGGGATTGCAGGGTACGAGCTCCCCCTTGCCAGAAGTGAGGCTGGGGACAAACTGCCTGTCCTGCTTTTCAGCCTGAGATGTTGGCAGGGGACTTGGGGTGCTGCAGGGCCTGGCAGGGACAGGGAAGGTGGCTGTAGAGGGAACGTGCCCGTGTCTTTTTTTTTCTCCATGCAGAGCAAAGCCGCAGGGACGACCTGGAAGCATTAGGGCACATGTTTATGTACTTCCTCCGTGGGAGCCTTCCTTGGCAAGGCCTCAAGGTAATCTCCTGCTCCCGCTGTCCCTGGGCACAGCTGCCCTGTGGGTCTGGCTCTGTCCTGGTATGGGCAGCATCGGGAGGGGGGGAAGCTTTGGCCCCCTGGGTGTTGGAAGATTGGCACCCTGCCACACGCAGGGGTTGTTGCTCTGAGTTCTGTACCAGGCCCTTGCTGTGCTCAGCGGCTGTAGGTATCCCCCTTTCTGTGTCACCCCCACTTTGCGCGTATCCCAGCTGCTCTCACAGAGTCTGTCCTGGAACCGCACTCCCTGGTGTTTGTCCTCCAGACCTGCCCTGGGTGAGGGGATTCCCTGGGAATGAGCTTTTGCTGTTACCTAGAAAAGAGGGACCAAGAAACCGTCTGTGGCCCCGTGGCCCTCAGGGCCTTTCCCCTCTCTGGGGACATGCCCAGCCCTCATGCTGCCCTGCTCCTTGTCTCTGCCAGGCTGACACGCTAAAGGAGCGGTATCAGAAGATCGGCGACACCAAAAGAGCCACACCGGTGGAGGTGCTCTGTGAGAACTTCCCAGGTGAGAGCACTCAGCATGGCCTGTGCTTGTCCCTGGCCCCAGCCTGGCCCCAGAGCCCACTGGCCTGGCATCTTGTCCCCCTGCCCCAACTGAGCCCGCTCTGTCCCTGCAGAGGAGATGGCCACGTACTTGCGCTACGTGCGGCGGCTGGATTTCTTCGAGAAGCCTGACTATGACTACCTGCGGAAGCTCTTCACAGACTTGTTCGAGAGGAATGGTTACGTGTTCGACTATGAATATGACTGGGCAGGGAAACCGCTGGTGAGTGCTGAGGGGGTGGGCAGAGGGTGCTGGGCCCCAGGGCGCCCGGGGGGTGGTGGGCAGCGTGGTGGGGTGTCAGCACGCTCTGAGGCAGCAGCCAGGGAGGATGCAGGTCGGCAGTCGTCCATGCCACGCACATCTGTGCCCGTGAGATCACCTCCACCAGTCCTCACCAGACACCAGCAGCCACCTCCAGGCTGGGGCTGTTGTGCCGATGAGTTAAAGCTGTGACAGAAATTTCAGGCTCCTGGAGCTAAGGGGAACCCAGCAGTCGAGTTGGCACCTCGCTTTCTGCCATGGGCACCCTCCATGGACTCACCGCAGCCAAATACCAAGAGTGGAGCTGGTGGGGCGGGGGTAGGGGCTGGGATCAGGCCCCCA